GTTTATTATTTTTTAAAAAACATTTTATTTGGTTTTTTAAATTTTTTTTTATTTTTTAAATATTTTATTTTTATGTGTATGTGTGCATTGCCTGCATATAGGTAAGTGCACCCATGTTGTGCAATGCCCAAGGAGTACAGAAGAGGCTGTCAGGTCCCCTGAACTGGAGTTACGACAGTTGTTAGCTGCCATGTAGGTGCTAGGATTTGAACCCATCTTCTGCAAGAACAGCCAGTGTTCTTAATTGCCGAGCCATCTCTCCAGCCCCCACTTTGTTGTTTTTAAACACCCTTGTTTGAGATGTCTTTAGGAAAACTAGCATCATCTCTATAGGCAATTTTGACTTTATTAGTTGTGTTGAAGATTTTTTGTTGTTGCTGTTTGTTTGGTTTGTTTTTTGACTTTCAGCTAGAGGAAACACAAACTGCCCTGCCCTGCCCTGCCCTCCTTTCTGTCTTCTTAATTCTTCCTGCCTTTTTACCCAGCCTCATGACCATATTCATCTTTCACTTATCTCTTAATTATAATTTTAAAACAGTGGTTCTCAAAGTGTGGTCTTGGAGCAACACCATGTAAACTGGCATACCTGAAAGGATCTAACCCCATAATATTATCCCAGCTTCCATAATATTATTACCATCACCTGGCAACTCCTTAGACACAAATCCCTGAGTTTCACCTGAAGAATCAAAACTGTCCTTGGGGTTGGGGTGGGATGATTCACTAATCTATTTTAAGACATTTTCTAGGTGTTCTGAAATGTTTGAAGACTAGACTAAAAGTTGCATCCACTTTAACTATTCACAGCATCTGTGCTCGTACTGAGTGTTCAAAACTGTGAACTAGAATTCCTGGAAAGAGGCTGGGCCTGCAAAGTTGATTGCTTGATTTCAACTTCAGTGATTCGAAGAGGTTGTGTAAGCCAGAGCCAAATTTTCTTGGGCATCTTTAGCCCTCTTAACAGCCATTTATTGTCCTCCTCTGTAGAACACCTAACATCTTTAGTGACCAGTAAGGAAATCGGTTGGAGTGTATTAACAGACCCATAGTTTCCACCTACCAAAGAACTTTTGCTGTCAGAAAGCATCAAAGGCCTATAGTCCCCTCCCCTCTTTTATGACTTTCTTTGTTCTGTTACCATAAAAGTTCATGAAATTGCTACCCCGTTTGAACATGTTATTTGGGGAAACCTAAATCTGTGTTCCTGCATTCCTGAGTCATGTTTACTCATATTTAGCTATAGAATAAACCATCTTTTTTAAAAAAAGAATTATTTTTAATTATGTGCATGTGTGTGGGTTTGTGCACATACATACTGGTGCCTGAGGAGGCCACAGGAGTCAGATCCTCTGGAGCTGGAGTTACAGGCAGTTGTTAGTCATCTGATGTAGGTGCTGGGAATCACACCCTGGTTCTCTTCAACAGCAGAAGTGCTCTTACATTGAGCCACCTCTCCAGTTCTATAAACCATCTCTTTTATTCCTTTGAGGTAAAAGCTGTTTCATAGTCTTTTAAAAATAGTACCCTTCATGAGGGCTGGAAAGATGGCTCAGGGGTTAAGAGCACTGCTGTTTTTGCAGAGGACCTAGATTCAGTTCCCAGCACCCACAGGGCGGCTAACAACTATCCTGAACTCCAGTTCCAGGGAAACTGACGCCCTCTTCTGGCCTCCTCGGGCACTGCATGACACAGGTGCACTTACCTATATGCAGGCAATCATACACTCATACATATAAAATAAAAATAATAAATTTTAAAAATTGTGCCCTTCACCGGGGGTGGTGGCACACACCTTTAATTCCAGCACTCAGAAGGCAGAGGCAAGTGGATCTATGTGAGTTCAAGGCCAGCCTGGTCTATATAGTGAGTTCCAGAACAGCTGGGGCTACAGGGAGACCCTGTCTCAAACCAAAAAAAAAAAAAAAAATTGTGCCCTTCACCAGGAACTTCCTTTTGTTAGTTACATGAGATGAAGACTTAAAAGGACTTTATGTTAACCAGACACATAAAATAAGCAGTTACTACTAACATCAGAATGGCAACTTAAAGAAGTCAATTATTGCTGTTGGGGGGGGGGGTCAAGAAAAAGGGGAGGGGGAAGCATCTCTGAATTCCTGTTATTCTTTCCTCCGGTAATTTTACTTTACACTATTGATAACGGAACCCTACATTTAGGGTACAAAAAGCACAGTCCAGTTATTTCCCACTGAATGAAACATCAATTATACTTGTACAGTGGCAAAATAAGGCGTGGGAGGAGAAGATGAGGAAGGGAACGCCCTTGAACCGCAGAGGAATCTTCCCAGGGAGCCTCTCCCAGCACGGGGCACTCCCCACCGTCAGTGTTCACTTACGGGCAGTGACTTGTGGGCGAACTACGGAAAGCACGAGTAGCCTCGCCCAGCTCAGCGTAGCCAGCCTCTTCCGCCCGGACTCTGGGCCCCGCCCACTTCACGGTCATAGAGCGCGCGGCGCCTGCGACCAAACCGCCCTCTGAGAAGCGAGACCGTCCCAGCCAATGAGCTGTCAGAAATGAGACAAAGTGTCCAATGAGCTGCTGGGATGATCTGGCGGCTGATCAATCACTTGGCCTCGTACCCGGATATGGTTGCTTGGTTCAGAAACCTAGCTGAGGCGGCTGCACGTGGGGCGCTGGCTGAGGGTGCCGAGGAGGGGCGGGCGCTTAGTGAGCCGCGTCGTACGCGTGCGTGCGCGCGCCGTACCAGGGCATCCGGCTGGGTGTTGAGTGCCGGAAGGTCTGTGCGGCTGCTAGCGGCGGGTGGCATTCCCGCTGCAGTGTCCCCCGCCGCCTGGGCTAGGTCCCCCCATGGTACCTTCCGGCGCCTAGTCTGGAAGACGCCGCTCGCTTCGTGGGAACATGAATCTCTTACCTAAAAGCTCCAAGGACTTTGGCTCTGTTGACTATTGGGAGAAGTTCTTCCAGCAGCGGGGAAAGAAAGCTTTCGAGTGGTATGGGAGCTACTTGGAGCTGTGCGAGGTGCTCCACAAATACATGAAGCCCAGGGAGAAGGTAAGGCGTGCGGCTAGGGAGCCCACCGTGGGGACCGGTGCTAGCAGTCTTAAACTTGTTAGACCGGCAGGCGTGGGGGTCTGTCCTCGGACCTATACTCTCAGGATTCCGTACTTCATTCTGGTAAAAAGATAACTTTAAAATAACCTCTTAAAAGATTTTCGTTTAATACTTCATGCTTGAATTAACCCCTTTTGGAATAGTGACTTCTTTAGTATTCGGACCCTGAAAAGGTGTCAGACTGGGCACTGTGCCCAGCCCTCAGGCTACAAGAGCAGTAAGGCATAAACCTTGCACACACTCCCTAAGTGAGGTTATAAGTTCAGTAATAGGTTCGGTAGAGATTGGCTTGTATTGGAACTAAGGTCTCTGAAAAAAGCTTTACTTAGCTGTATGCTGTGTGTCTGTGTGCAGTCTTTTATTTTTCAGTAATTTCAGATGCGTAGGTAAGTGCTCTTCCTTTTACAGGTGAGGATGCTGGAGGAAATAGGTGGAGATTTAAGTAACGTACAGGAGCAGGCCTGACTCCCGAGCTTATTCATTTCTTCCAGAACTATGCTTTTCCAGAGATGGTGACATCAAATCAGAATTTTTAAGGGCTGAATGGGAGGCTGGGCCATAGAGAGGGAGACAGCAATGGGCTTCAGAAAAGTGTTGAATCCTCACAAACTGTAGTTGTCTCCTGAAGCAAATGAGTGGATGGAGGAAATAGTGATGCCACGCTAGATTTTTAACAGTAAAATGAGATTGTAGCTGGTGTTTGGATTTTGCGACTTGCTGTTAATTCTTGAGTAACATACTTATTTCTGTATCACAAAGCCCATCCCCATTTAACCTGTATTGTGGCAAAATGTGGTTTTCGTTAATGAATTCCTTCCAGGTATGTCCAGTCTTTTGCCACTGTAACATAATGTTGTCATCCTCAAGGTTTGCACTTGGGAAACATGTACTGGAATTACCAACAATTAAAAAGTAAAAATAAATAAATAAATAAATAAATAAAAATCACCTCGTAATGTGTTTTTTTGTGTGTGTTTTGTTTTTGTTTTTGTTTTTTTGAGACAGTGTCTCCCTGTAGCCCTAGCTGTCCTGGAACTCACTAGGTAGACCAGGCTGGCCTTGAACTCACAGTGATCTGCCTGCCCCTGCCTTCCAAGTGCTGGGACTAAAGGTGTGGGCCACCATGCCTGGCCACCTCATAATGTTTTAAAAGCGTTGGGTTGCAGGTGGTGGCGCACACCTTTAATCCCAGCACTCGGGAGGCAGAGGCAGGCGGTTCCTCGTGAGTTCAAGCCCCCCCGGGTCCCCATAGGGGGTTCCAGGACAGCTGGGGCTTTAGGGGGGCCCTGTTTCAAAAAAACCAAAAAAAAAAAAAAAAAGTGTTGGGTTGTACTCATAGCTATCCTGGGTGGTGGTTCGCACACACCTCTAGTGATAGTTTCAAGATGGCATCTAGGTTAACTGTAGTGTTGCTCTCTCCTGACCATTGACTCTCTGGCTTTTGGGATTGTGCAATAACCAAGGTGAGACTTGCATCTTGCAAGTATTGAAAGTACATTTCTTTGCCTTGATCACTTCCATTTTGTACATTTTTTTTTCCTTCAGGTGCTTGTGATTGGATGTGGCAACTCAGAGCTGAGTGAACAACTTTATGATGTGGGATATCAGGACATAGTGAACATTGACATCAGTGAGGTTGTCATCAAGCAAATGAAAGAACGCAATGCCAGCCGACGGCCCCAGATGAGCTTCTTGAAGATGGACATGACACAGATGGAGTTTCAGGATGCCTCGTTCCACGTGGTATTGGACAAGGGCACCCTGGACGCTGTCCTGACAGATGAGGAGGAGAAGACCCTGCAGCAGGTGGACAGGATGTTGGCTGAGGTTGGCCGTGTCCTGCAGGTGGGCGGTCGCTACCTCTGCATCTCCCTGGCTCAGGCTCACATCCTGAAGAAAGCAGTGGGTCACTTCTCCCGGGAGGGGTGGATGGTGAGGGTGCACCAAGTGGCCAACAGCCGGGACCAGGTGTTTGAAGCAGAGCCTCGGTTCTCCCTGCCTGTCTTTGCCTTCATCATGACCAAGTTCAGGCCAGTCCCTGGCTCTGCCCTTCAGATCTTTGAGCTGTGTGCTCAGGAGCAGGGCAAGCCTGTGCGGCTGGAGAGTGCCGATCAGCTGGCTGAGGCAGTGCAGGAGCGGCAGCAGTATGCTTGGCTGTGTAGCCAGCTGCGCCGCAAGGCTGGGCTGGGGACTGTGTCTCTGGACTTGTGCAATGGGGACACGGGGGAGCCACGCTACACCCTGCACGTGGTGGACAGCCCCACTGTGAAACCATCGCGGGACAGTCATTTTGCCATTTTCATCAGTGAGTTGGGATTGCTCCCTCTCTTTTCCTGGAGGGGCTGGATTACAGGGCTGGGGCTGGGCTTGGGCCTTGCTGGATGGGTATGTCTTGGCTGTTTTTATTTTCAGAAGGTGCTATTTAAAGGAGGTTAGATTAGTCAAGGCATGGTGAAGGGGGAGTAATAGTTCTGCAGCAAACTGCTTAGATTTGCGCTTGTTCCTTTTGATAGTCCATTGTAAAGACTTGAAGTCCGAGAATGGAGGTGGTTGGGAGGAGAAAGTAGATGTAAATCTAGGCCAATCACACATTATATAGAAATGTTAATTAATGTGAAGAAATGGAAGCAAGGGTGGACTGTTTGGGCCAGGTATGAGTTCTAGGTTCAGCACTGTCTAGCCGGTGACTCATGGAGTTCCAGAAGGAAAGTCGCTATGCTTTTCTGCAAAATTAAGAGAGGCAGTGCAAGGTAGCAGCTAAAAGAGTAAACGCCACAAAAGACTATGTAGTTTCTAGTTGGGTTTGGTCACTTCCTGTTGCTATGACATTGAAAAAGTTACTTTTTTTATTCCTATTCCTTATTTTCCTCATAAATAAAATCGGATTGTAGTCCTCTTTTAGTCATAAGAAGTGTAAAGTCTCTTAGAAAGGATGCCTGGGAAGTGCTAAGTGCTGTATGAATGTTGGCACCCCCAGCGTTTTCCACACTGTTATTGTTGAAGGAAGGGAAGGAGCCAGATTTACCTTAATAAAGATGGAGGGGTAAAAAAGGTTGGAGGAAAGAAGAGAATGTGAAAGTTCTAGATCAGTGCAAGGTGTTGTGGTTTTGCTGGGAATCTGTTTCCTGAGAACCAAGCCCTTTTCTGAGTGTTTCATAATTCTCACTGCCCATCTGTGGGAATGAGAGGGGAGTGGAGAGGAGCCTGGAGTCAGGCTAGAATGCCTAGGCCTGAGTCTGAGCTTTGCATTTACCAGCAGTGTGATGAACTTAGGCAAATCAGAAGTTCTGTGCCTCAGTTTCCTTTTTTGTAAAAATGATAATGCCACTTGCATCTTGGGCTCTGAGGATTCCGTTAGTTTCTGTTAGTGAACAGTTTGAAATCAGGCCTGGCATGGAGTAAGCATTGTTGTTACTTCTGTTGTCCTATCTGCCTATCTGTCTACTTCAGGCATGCCCACACTCTTATCACCCTTGGTTCTGCTTCATGTTTGGTAGGCTGCTCTGCTCTGGAATTGAGAGCCTCTCAGTGGGTCACAGGAAGGAAGCTGGTCCTCTGTCCTGTGGACCACAGTGTGTAGGGCTTGAACACTCTTCCATAGGACTTGCTCTAATCAAGTGATTTTTTTTTTTTTTTTTTTTTTTTTTTTCTAGTACCCCAGGGCCGTGAGACTGAGTGGCTGTTTGGCATGGAGGAGGGCCGGAAGCAGCTGGCAGCCAGTGCAGGCTTCAGGAGGCTGATCACTGTGGCTCTTCATCGGGGCCAGCAGTATGATGGCATGGATAGCATTCAAGCAGAGCTGTCAACTAGGGTCATGGAGCTAGCCCCAGCCGGGATGCCCCCCCAGCAGCAGGTACCAAAATTTTGGCAGCAGCTTTCACTGTTTCTGGAGTCCTGCTAGTAGGCAGGAAGGCACACAGACCCTTGGAAAGGCTAGGACTAGGGAAGGGACAGATGAGAACAAAGGATAATGACACAGATACATGGAAGGTCGTCATGAAACCCAGTACTTTGTATGCTAACCTTAAAACTTAATTGAAAAAAGAAAAAACCTGGAAGAATCTCTGACAGGGTCTGGAGGGGGGTTGGCAGTAAGAGGAAATGTCCCCAGGCAGAGAGAGGAAGGGGAGTAAAAACTCTGTAGGGGCCAAGGATGTAGAGCCCCCTTCCTGAGGGGTTCTGTCTCATTTTTGTTATTGTCCTAGGCTGTTGGGAGTCTTTGTGCTTACTGATGAAACTTTTACATCTTTCCTGGGAAGAGCTAAGTGCAGGTGGCTAGTGGTTTAGGCAATCTCCATGTGTTCAGTTGATTTTTAGAAGGTAGATTGAAGCTTTTGAGCTCTATCTAAAGGCCCCAGAAATCACTGGAATAGAATGGCGAGTCTTTGGAGCTGTGGCTGTCCAGAACCTTGGCCTGGGGAAGTCTTCAGGCTCATACTAAAGGAGGGCAGATAATGTTTCCTATTTCTTAATTGAGCTGATTTTTTGCCACATCTCTGGCTGTCCCTTCAGGTGCCCTTTCTGTCTGTGGGTGGAGACATCGGGGTCCGAGCTGTTCAGCACCAAGACCACAGTGCCTTGAGTGGTGACTATGTTATTGAGGATGTGCAAGGTGAAGACAGGAGATACTTTCGACGACTGATCTTCCTCAGCAGTAGGAATGTGGTGCAGTCGGAAGCAAGGCTGCTGAAGGATGTATCTCGGAGAGGTGAGGGATCACAGGCATGGTGATGGGAGACCCAGCTGGGTGTGACATGCACTTTCTATTTGGAGTAAGCAAAAAGAACAGGGAGCTTGGCCAAGATGCAAGACAGACCTGGGTCCCTGTGACTAGAGGCACAGGGCACTAGGCTGTGCTTTCTCACCATCTGGGCAGGGCACTAGTGGTGATAAGCAAATGGAGGTGTTCTCTTCTTGAGCAAACCCTGGTTCTGAGCTATAAGTAAGGGTAGTAAAGCCCAGTAAGCGTGGTAATTGCTTTAGTGCCTTCCCTTTAAAGGGAATCTGGCTTAGAAGTTGCTACATATATGCCCCTCTGTGCCTCTGTGAGGTGGGCCAGAAACATGGAGGTTGCACATGAGCAACCTGTCCTCTGTAGCAAGACCCAAGGTTACCTGCTTCACAGGGACTTAGATTTGGTGGGTGTCTTAGAAGCCATCTAGTCCAGCACTTTAGTGGAACTGTGTGTGGTGGAAAAAACGCTTCATTCTGAGCTTCCAGTATGAGAGGCCTAACTATAAATGGCTGCAGGGCAATGGAATATGACTGGTGACTGATTTTTTTTTTTTTAATTGTTTATTGATTTTTGAGATAGGGTCTTACTCTGTAGTCTAGGCTGACCTTGAACTTGCAGCAATTCTCCTGCCTCAGTCTCTTGAGTGCTGGGATTACAGGCATGAGGTACCACATTGGCCTGAATTTTAATTTCAATTACTTCATATTTGAATTAGCATGGCCACAGCTATCTAGTGCCCATGGTGTTAGACATTGAGGTCAGAACTTCCCTTAGGGCCACTCTTGAGTGTGTCACAGATGCCCCTTAGAAGTCTCACTGATGGGGAATCACTAATCACTAGCTTGTTTTACTTGCCCCCCCCCCCGTTATGTATGTTTTTAATAATTGTGATCACTTTAAAAGTCATACATACAGAGTTAAAAATAAGGCTGGATGTGGTGGTAATCCCAGCATTTGGGATGCTGTAATACCAGCATTTGGAAGGCAGAGGCATGAAAATCACTAAGTTCAAGGCTATTTTGGTCTACATAATGAGTTCTAGGCCAGACAGGGCAACAGACTGAGACTTTATCTCAAAACAAAACAAAACAAAACAAAACAAAACAAAACAAAAAATATATTTTAGAGTAAAAGTAAATGCTCTGTCTCCTCTTCTCCAGTATAACTTCCCTTTGAGTCACAGAGATTCTAGGAAAGAATCTGAAATTAAGTGTGAATCTCTGTTTAGCCCAGAAGAAGCAGAAAAAGGACAAGAAGAAACAGCGACTTGCTGGTGCTTCTGAGGACCTTCCTCCCGCACCAGGGCAGTCCATCGATAAGAGTTACCTGTGTTGCGAACACCACAAAGCCATGATTGCTGGCCTTGCCCTGCTGAGAAACCCAGAGCTGCTTCTAGGTAAGACACTGCTGCCCAAGAGCTTGCAGACTGTACAAGTGAGTGAGCTGTTGTGCGGCTTAAGTAGCTACTACAAACTGACAGGTGCACACAGCTCCAAGTCTCCCTTCATCTCAACTTTGTTCTGAATTAATGAACATGTAGGTAACTGTCATCTTGAAATAGCTGCCTGTGTTAGGGTATAAATTTTGTTTTTTTCAGTTCATTTTGTTCTAAAATTACAATATAAAATTTATTCAGTGAGGAATATGAAATGCATATTTTAAGTAACTCAAATTTTTGAGTTGTTTAGAATTTTATTTATGAATTTTTGTATGTGTGTAGTTCCCTTGTCACATCTCCAGTGCCTTTGGATAATATGTAGTTTCTCAGTAGTGCCTTATTTGAGCACAAGATATAAGTCTTCTTGGATTTTTATTTTAAAAAATCCTTATTATAGTTAGTGCAGTGATAGGTTTATCTCTGATAACAGACTTGAATCTGACCACATTAGCAAATATGTTCACTCACATTGTCTTCCCTTCCTGGAGTCCCTAACTGCCTAATTGAGACACTGTGTAGCGTAGCCTCTTGGTGTTACCTGTGGCCCTAGAAGGGAAGGTCAGTTCTTAGATTTAATCCCAGGGTTTCACTCCTTTTAGTGATTCTTTTGTTTCTCATCTTTTGTTAATACTCCTGTGGTTGTCTGGTTTCTCTGTGTCTAGAGCTAGGAATTGGGTCTTTGTTTTCTTTGATTTATGGAACTTGAGTGCATTGTTTTCACTTTGTCATGGTGTCTGAAAAGACAGTTTAGGCCCTTTGAATACCAGGTGAGGGGCATTGCACTCATACCACTTGTGATTATAACTATTTCCTAGGGTGGGAGTATATCCAATAACTCTTAAGGGACTCTTGATATGCCAGATGAATCCATTGGAATGTTTAAGGGACCATAACGTAGCATTCTGGTTCATCATCTGGATCTAGTCAACATGAAGTCAATGATCAGATGAAGCTGAATGATCAAATGTCTGATGACGCCAAAATTTCTAGGATGAGACAGGAAGACTTGGTCTAAATCTTAAATCTTGATCAGAGCCTACAATTTTAACTTCCTCATCTGTCTCCCCTGAAGTTAGAGAAAGTTAGAGAAAGTTTTTTTCTCTGAGCAGGTAGCCAAGTGATGCTGTCTTCTTTTATTACAGAGACTCCACTGGCATTATTGGTGGTAGGCCTGGGTGGGGGTAGCCTCCCCCTCTTTGTTCATGATCATTTCCCAAAGTCCCACGTCGACGCTGTTGAGATTGACCCCTCCATGTTGGAAGTGGCTACCCAGTGGTTTGGCTTCTCACAGAGTGACCGGATGAAGGTGCACATTGCAGATGGCCTGGACTACATTACCAGCTTAGCGGGAGGAGAAGGTACTGCTGGGGGAGCATTTGGAGGAGGGAAGATGAGTTAGGGAAGATGAGTCCAACGTTGCCAGACCTGCAGGGGCCTGTAGGATTCATCTCTACATGGTGCATCAGCATCGTTTCATTCACTTGTGTGTTCATTTGGTGGTGCTGGTGTATAGTGGTTAGTAAAACAGACCTATAGTCCTCCCTTTTGACCTTGTAACCCTGCTACTTCCTTATAAGGAAGTTCTATTTTATAGCTGGGTGAAAATAAAAGGAAGAAAAGACAGGGCATATGTTGGGAGATTTAAAAAAAAAAAAAAGCCTCCTTTAGCTATAGGTGAAGTCAGACATAGAGGGAAACTACAGTCACACAGATTAGAGATTCTCAGTCTCAGGGAATTTGGCAAAGACTTAGAATAGTTTTGGTTGGTTGTCACAGGTTGGAGGGAAGCAGGTGATGATACTAGTGTCTAGTGAGGAGAGGGGAAAAGTCACACAGTCTGTGATGACAGAATCTTCTGTCCACGTCAGCAGTGTGGAGGCTGAGAAATGGTGGTGCAGGCTGTACTTACTGTGGATTTTGGTAGCCCAGCTATCTCTGGAATTAAGGTTCCATTTTGTTGTAGTAATTTGTACTATAGACATAGGCTAAAATACATATTAATTTTCTGTAAAATACTAGATTCAATAGGTCTCCTGCTCCTTCTACAACTTCATACATATGTACCTGGTAATTGTGGTTAAAGTTACTGTTCAGCCCTTCCAGGCTTCATCTTCTGCTTTGGCTAGATCATCTTCATCTGCTTTTGGCTGGTTTGCAATTCTGACTGTGTTGGGGAACAAATATACCACAGGCTTCCTATCTCCTCTCACATCTGCTTGCTGCCACCCTGGGGTTTTGACAGGCCTGGAGGGCAGCCCACATTCTCTTAAGTATGTAGAGGCTTTCCAAGGTGACGATCATGTTCACCAGTATTCATTGCATGAGTTATTTATGTTAGAATGAGTCCTATTAAGTGGGACTTTGGAAGACACTTTTACGCATGTGGGGAGGCTTCCTCTGCACTGTAGGACAGTTTAAACTCATGACAAGGACTCTCCTTAACTGTGGCAGTTTCCTTAGTAGGCAGAGTACATCATGCCATCTTTCAGACTTAGGCATGGTGCCCCACAAGTCTTGGAGCAGGTGTGTATAGGAATGTAAACGATGCTGTTTTAGCTCACAGAGACAGGACTCATCTTCTCTTTCCAGCACAACCTCACTATGATGTCATAATGTTTGATGTGGACAGTAAGGACCCGACACTGGGAATGAGTTGTCCTCCTCCAGCATTTGTGGACCAGCTTTTCCTGCAGAAGGTCAAAAGCATCCTGACTGCAGAAGGTATGGAGTGCTAGAGGTGGGCGAGGGAAAGGCCCTTTACAAACATTATTTGGGGCCAGAGAGATAGCTCAGCGGTTAAGAGCGCGTGCTGCTCTTGCAGAGGACCCAAGTTTGGTTCCTGGCACCTGTGCCAAGTGGTTCACAGCTGCCTGTAACTGGCCGCAGGGGATCCAGTTACAGGGGATTCCATAGGCACCTTCACTAACATATTCTTACAATAGGTATATGCTTAAATATACTTTTTGAAAAACTAAAAAAGTTTAAAGACAAATTATTCTTTAATAAAAAAAAATGCCTGTAAATGTGTAGTTTGGTTAGTTTCCCCAAATTAACTATCTACCAGCACCAGACAGTATTTCCAGCTTGCCAGAAGTCCACCTTTTCCCTCCTGGTTACTTGTACAGTAGTCACTGTACTGTTACTGCATCTTAGTTCACACTTCAGCAGCTGAGTGACTGACTGCCTCTCAGATGCTTTCCGATGCTGTGGGCTCCTTGTTGTGTTATTTAATACTCAGAGTAGCCCGTTTTCAGATGAGAAAACTTAGACTGAGAGACTTGCCAAGGTGCTACTCAGTAACAGTTGGAGCTCTGGCTCTGCTGCTTGAACGCTGTAGCTCTTCATAAGTGTTCACAACGTCTTCTGGCTTTCCTGCTTGGTATAAGGTCCTCTAGTATACTGGGCTCATCAGCTTAACCTTAATTGCTAGAAGTTATGATAACCTTGGCCTTCTCACTGGTTGATAAATATTCATGTGATGTATTTCAACAAGTAACTGGGTGTGGTGATGCACGCCTTTAATCCTAGCAGTTGAGAGGCAGAGGCAGGCAGATTTCTGTGACTTCAAGGCCAGCTCAGTGTATATAAGGGGTTTTAGGTTAGTTGCAGGCTGTGTAGTGTCACTATCTCAAAAATTATGATGTCCTTGTAAAACATTAGACATAGATGTGGAGATTGTTAATGTTAGACAAACATCAAGAAAAAGGCTGAAGTTTTCTTTTGCTTTATATACTCCCTATCTTGCTGCTGCTTTGTGCTGTGTGTGTCCGTGGCAAGATAACCATTCCATAGGTATGTTTTCTTAGTTCTCCAGCCTCCATGATAGGCATTTGTGTTCTCCTGACCCTTGTCTCCAGCATGTCCCCTGGTCTCTGTGTCTTTTGCTCTTTCCTTCCTACTTTCCAGGTGTCTTCATCCTTAACCTTGTGTGCCGTGACTTGGGACTAAAGAACTCAGTGCTGACTGGACTCAAGGCAGTTTTCCCTCTCTTGTATGTCCGGCGAATTGAGGGAGAGGTGAATGAGATCCTGTTCTGTCAGCTGCACCCAGAGCAGAAACTTGCCACACCAGAGCTCCTGGAAATGGCCCAGGCTTTGGAGCGGACGCTGAGGAAGCCTGGGCAGGGTTGGGATGACACTTATGTCCTGTCTGATATGCTGCAGACTGTGAAGATTGTGTGAGGCAGCCCTCTTAGCTTTCTGCCGAGGCTGGCTTGAACTGGCCTGCTGGAGGTTGAAGTCATGGTGCACAGCACTTGTAGACCTTGGTTTTTCTTGGGCACACACTCAGCTCCGTTTCCCATCTTTTGGGGTGCGAAGAGGCATTTGGGGAATGATTTTACTTTTTTTGGAAAGCCTTACTATGAAAGAAGTGTGGGGTTGGTCTCCGCTTCTGGAGACTGAAGAAAGCCTAAGAGCAGAAGTTACAGTTTGGCAATGTGGTAGTGTGGATCTTCAGTGTCTTCCAATGTGTTTGAAGACTTGCTCCTCAGCCTTTGGCACTGTTGGGAGATGGAGGAACTTTTAGGAGAGGCCTCGTAGAAGGAAGGTAGGTCATTGGTGTGACCGAACGCTGAAGGGGCTCTTGGAACGTGGGCCTCTGCTTTTCAGCTGCTGTGAGGCACGCTTGTTCCACCATGTCTACCCTATGTGATTTCCTGCCACTCCACAGGCCCAAGCAGTGGGTCTTCCCTCTGTAGCCTGGAACCTCCAAACTAAGCCAAATAAACCTTTCCTCCTTATAAGTCTGTTGTCTCAAGTATTTTTTTTTTTTTAATGACAGAGCTAGGAGGTGATTTTCAGCAGGCTGTTTACTCAGCTCTAGTCCCACCCCCTCAAGCACTCACCCTTTTGAGGTTTTGTGTGTGTAGAGTCACTTCTTGTATCAGATCTTTCCCACTAAAGACTGATTGACTTTTGCCTTAATGACAGGCAGATGAGTGTTTATGAAAATTTTAAAAAGCAATGTGTTCTTTCCCCACAATTTCATATGTGTTTATAATGTACTGTGATCGTGTCTCTCCCCATCCTCTCATCCCCTTTCCCCTTCCACCAAACCCCTTCTTCCAAACAGTCCCCCTTCTTTCATGTCGTTTTTTCCTTTTTGCATTTGATTAGTGTTGCTTGCATGACCATGGATCTGGGATTTACTTGAGCAGGGGCAACTTACCAGTGGTTACACCACTGGAGGATATTCCTCTCCCCCTAGCAGCCATTATATAGCTCCCCAGGAAGGGCCAGGGCTGTACGAGCCCCTCCCTCTTTATAAGCGTTTTGTTAAATTTTAGGTGTTGCAAATGTGGGGAAAGAAGGAGGGTTGTAAACTTAAGTTTTTGTGAGGCCAGTAACAAGTGTGTGAAGAAAGCTAGGTATAAAACTGAAAGGCCAGGAGGAAACCATAATAAACCAGAGAGTGGGCCAGTGGTGCTGGGAGTGTGCTGACTGCAGGAGTGATGTCCACAGTGTGACTAGGTCTTAGGTCTTTAAGGTGAGCCAGAAATCCTAACTGGGGGGGATTAAAATTGGCCAGTCAGAACACATTTAAAAGCTATATTTAACCTGTGCCAGGAAACGTCAGCTTCCATCTAAGGAAAACCTGTAGAACTGCAGAACGTTGGAGAGTCTGGCATCCACCCCAGCTCAGCATAAAGAACACAGCAAGCTGGTCCCTTGGAGTCATAAAACTGGGGAAGTCTTGTATTAGAACTCAGTGGTTTATAATGGTGATGGCTGGATTTAGTTCCCACAATTAAGGAGAGAGTGCAATTTTAACTTTCCAGAACTACCCAGGGACAGGACAAGAATAAGTCAGGATACGTTGGTTCTCATCAAACAAGTTTTATAACAGGATAAAGCTGGGCCTCTTATCCCACACCTGTACCACTTTTTCAGTGTACTAATCTTTCTTGGCTTGCTTAATTGCTAACTGGGTGACTCCTATGGGTAGTTCTTATCCTTAATACATGCCAGAGTCCCTTGATACAGTAAGCAGAATAATGCTTCCTCAAAGATAACCATGCCCCAATCCCAGCAACCTGTTAACATGGTAGTCCCACTGTAAAGGGGACTTACTGTAGTAGGTGGATTTGATGTTGCCAACCAACTGACTGTAAATTAGGGAAGTTATATTGGATTATTGAGGTAGGCCCAGTGTAATCACGAGGTCATTTAAATAGAAGAAGTGTCAGTATTAAAGTGAATGTGAAGAGGCCCCATTGCTGGCCTTGGAGATGTAAAGAGGCCACTAGCTAGGGAACACAGTTGAGCTATAGCAACTAGACAAGAAAACGAACTGGTCAGGTGTTTCCAGCAAAAGGTTAAGTCTGCCCTGCAGTCTCTGCCAGCAGCTCAGTATTAGCCCAGTGAGACAGTAGGGCAGCTGATCAGTTACATGGATGGGGTCTGGAACCATATGTTCACGAAGTGTGAGGGTAGCACAGTAGATGGTCAGATGGTTTTCTGGGAATCTCTTAGATTCTCATTAGAGCAGGCAGTAAAAGGGTCTGGTCTCAAGACAAATACGGCTCCGGGAATAGCAGAATAAGGGGTACAGAGGGCTAATGCACTGCTCAACTCACCAGTGAGGTACATCAGAATGCGATGCACACAGAAGGCCACAACTGGCCAAATTTTGGAGAAAAAGACTAGAGTGTAGGATGGGACTCCTACATGGAACCTCCCCCACCTGTGGCTCATGGATCATTGCAGAAGAGGAGGGGGAACGATTGTAAGAGCCAGGGCTGGTTCATGAACACGGAGGTGGAGGCTTCTAGGTCACTGGAGGCTTGCTCAAGTGAGCCTGTGGCAGCGGGACCCATGTCAGCTCAATTAGACAAGGACCCAAAGGGGAAGTGAGAAATAGGTGGCGGGCCAGCACTAGATTGAGAACTATTTGAGACTGATTGCTGCTGGGTGAGGGAGAGTATGACTTACGTACAACCACTGGATGGGTTGACAAGACGGCAGTGGATACATTTACACTGAAGGTCATTTGGGTACAAACTCTTGTATAAATAGGACTAAGCTTACATGGCAGAGTGTATAGGGTTTGGTGGGAGGATGGGGAGAGGCATGGATGTGGGAGGGGGTCTGGAGTTGAGGGGGAAATATATGAAATTTAAAAAGCTCAATCAAAACCAAAACAAAAAAATAAAGCTGCTCCTCTTAAAGTGACTGAAGGTTGGTTTCAACAATTGTTTGTTTGCTTTTTTCCCTTGCACCGATCTTAGCAGGTTCCCACGCTTCCCAGTAGATGGCACTAGAAATCGCATTTGTTTCACGGTGCCTAAAATTACCCTGTGGGAAGGTCAAACTTCAAGATGCTCTTTCACCTTAACAATATTTTCTGATTCCTACGTGGGGTCTACTTTGCATCCACCCTCCTACTTTGCTTTCCAGTAGCTTCACCCAGTGCCCTGCCCGTTCTACTCTGGCTCCCTCTCTTCCTTTCTCTGTATATGGAGACTGCATGTCTGTTTCAGTTGGTCTCCAGTAGTGCAGGCCTATGTGGAAGCAGGAGTCTTTCTCTTTGCTCTACATCTTTGATTTTAGAAAGTAGAACAATGTGGGATTGCCAAGAAGATAGGAAGAAAAAAAGCTAGAGAAATGTAAGAAACAAAAATGTATCAGTGTATCTGTGGGTCCAAGCTGACACGTCTTCAAGTTTCCTGCCAAGATGAAAGTAAATTCTTTTTTTTTAAATAGAGATATAATATTATGTGTGTTTATGGGGGTACTTTATGGTAATTTTATATATATATAATATGTTATAATCCAACCACAGATTCCATATTTCACTCCATTGCTAGTACCATACTGTGTTGGTTATTGTAGCTTTTTCTTTTTGAAGTCAGCTATTGTATGCTTCTGACTTTGCTTTGCTGAGGATCACTGTATTAGTTTGAATTCTCTAAATGAACAGAACCAATAGAAAGAATATATGCTATGCTTATTAGCTTGGCTTATACAATAGGGGCTAGCTAGCGCAGCAGTGGCTGCCTGCACACTGGAGGGACTGAGAACAGGGTAGCTACTGGTCCTGAAGCTGAATGCTTCAGCAGTCTCAATGTGGTACTGAAGGCCTAGATGATAATTGGAGAATTGCTGGCCTTCAGTCCATGTTGGAAGGCTGAAGAAGCTGGGCTCTGGTGACAGGGATGGTGGCAGCAGCAGCAGCATTAGCTGAGTAGCTACCAGGTCCTCAGCCCCTCCAGATGGGCGTGCAATAGGGCTGGAGAGATGACTCAACAGTTAAGAGTGCATACTGCTCTTCCAGGGGACCTGAATTCAATTTCCAGTTGTGAGCATTGCTTGAAACTCCAGCTCCAGGAGTTTCACTCACATGCAGACACACACATACACACACACGGTTATACTTTATGTAAAACATCATGTATGGGGGAATATATGAGGTCTGGTGGGAAGTTGGGGGAGGGGATCTAAATTTGGTTAACTGTTGTATAAAATTACAAAAGCTCAATAAAATATATTAAAAATGACTAAGATTTTTTTATTTTTAAATTATGTATATGTGTGTATGTATGGGGGGGTGTGCACATGAGTGCAGGTGCCTACAGAAGTCAGAAGAGGGCATTGGATCTCTGGAACTGGAGTTACAGGAGATTGTGAGCTGCCCAGTGTGGATGCTGGAAGCCAAAATTGGGTCCTTTGCAAGAGCAGTACCACTCCTAGTCACTGAGCCATCTCTCCAGCCCCTGTATTTTTTTTTAATTTTAATTTTTAAAATATTTTATGTGTATGAGTGTATTTCCTTTATGTATGTAAGTGTACCTGTGCCATGTGATGCCTGCAGAAGTCAGAAGGAGGTGTTGGATCCCCTGGAACTGTAGTTATGGAGAGGTGCGGTGAATCGTACTTGGGTCCTCTGCAAGAGCAGTCAGTGCTCTTAACTGCTGAGTCATCTCTCCAGTCCCATGTTTTTAAAAATCTCAAGCATTATCGTTCTCATCTTTAGAAGTACAATTTTGTTTTTTAAAATAACTTTAATTTTTTAAATTTTATTTTACGTGTTTTAAGTGTTTTGCCTGCATATATGTGTACCATGTGTTTGCAGCACCCATGGAGGCCAGAAGAGGGTGTCAGATCCCCTGGAACTGTAGTTAAGAATGTTCATAAGCTGCCATGTGGGTGCTGGGAACTGAACCTGGGTCCTCTGCATAGCAGCTAGTGCTCTTAACAGTGGAGCCATCTTTCCAGCTCCCAATTTGGGTTTCTTTAGGATCATAAATACCTCACACATATTCAGTCTTTCCTTTAGGTTCTGACATGTGGAATATAGTGATAATAATTGCTTTAATGTCTTCTTTCTATTCTGTCATCTATATCTTGTGTTTGGTGTTGTTTTTCTTATGAATACTTTTTTTCAATGTTCAATTTTATTACTCTTCACTTTTACATTTGTTTTCCTATTTTCTTGGGAGTTTAATTTCTTGAGATAAGAATTTTATAAATAAGTTTCAGACTTTTTAATATATTCATTTAAAGTTACAAATATCATTATAAGCAGAGCTCTACAAGTTTCCCAAAGGCTCATCAGGCTTTACACTCATTATCATTCAGCTTAAACTTAACAATTTTCACATTCTAAATTTAAAAAAAAAATATTTTTATTCCAAAGAGTGACAATTTTTAGCACATTTTTCCAGAGGTAACTTGAAGCAGGTTATATAACACCTTACCCCAGTGAGACTGGCTAAGATCAAGAGAAGAAATGATACCAAATGCT